CCCTCCCCCTTTCCTTCTTTCCTTTTTTCCCTTTCTTTCCTTTCCCTTCCCTTCCCCTTTCTCTTTCCCCTTTCCCCTTCCCCCTTCTTTCCCCTCCCCCCCCCTCTCTCTGAGACAGGATTTTTCTGTAGCTTTGGAGCCTGACCTGGCACTCACTCTAGACCAGGCTGGCCTGGAACTCACAGAGATCCTCCTGCCTCTGTCTCCTGAGTGCTGGGATTAAAGGCGTGCTCCACCACCACCTGGCCTATCTTCACTATTTGTAACATGATTATTTAATTGTGTTACAGAACTTATTTTACAAGCAGATTTTACCTATTTTTCTTGTTGTTTCAACTTGCTGAGAATTTCTATTTCATTATCATAGAAATCAGAGAGATTTAAGTGATTTCAAAGAAAATCCTGTTCGCTGTTGTCAATGACTGACCGTGGTACTTCTCAGGAGCTGACTTACTTGGTCTTTTAAAATAAGCTTGCATAATAGGATTGGTAAAGTGTTGACAGTACAAATGAAGTCCTATTATCTCATAATTTTCTAATGGTGAGATTAACTGGATTAATTTTTTTCTTCACACAATTGCAGGTGTGTTCACCCCCGAGGAGGTGTGATACAGAGTGTTTCTTCCTGGAAGCATGGCTCTGGCACGCAGTATGTGGGCTCCCGGCAAACACAGTCATGGACTGCTGTGACTCCCCAGCAGACGTGGGCTTCTCCAGCAGAGGTTGTCGACCTGACCTTGGATGAGGATAGCAGACGTAAATACCTACTGTAATGCAATGTCCCTGTTCTCCGCACTGCTCCCTCCACCTCCTCCTCCTTGTGACATGGGAGTTCATCGTCATAGCTGCAGCTTCAGAAGCTGTTTGTGGCATTTGTGGAATTGAAATTCATGATAACCTCCCCCCTCTTTTTATTAAAATAATTCACTTAGGAAAATAACTTATCACAGAGAAAATAATTTTTTCTTTTCTTCCATAAGAATATGAGAATGGCGGATTTTATTAGACAGCTTCATTTTGCTTGGTGACTTACCTTAAAAGTCACCCTCCATTTAGAATAATATTTTACTTACTAGTCAAAATGGATTTCAGGTTTTGAATCTTATATTTATTTTTCTGTATAATGAAATTAATAATTAATATCTAGATGTGACCACCCTCTGTCTGCCTCACTGTCACTCCTACTCTAGGGCATTTGCGCTCACATCAGTCAGGTCCTCCTCGTTGGCACCTGGTAGGGCATGTGCATTTAGAAAACCCTTCCTTTACAGTGGAAGACAGAAGTATTATAAAATATATTTTTTCTTTAGTATATGTCTTCTGCCTTCTTTCCTGACATAGCTCCTTGTCAGTTTGCCATGACACAAATATTTGAAATGCCCCCTCCCTTTATTTCCAGATACTATTAAGGGGACTCAGTTGGTCTCCTGTTGCAATAATTGTTAATTCTTTGAGAGTTTCTAGATATCTGAAGAGTGCATTGAGAGATCAGTGGGAAATCTCTCTCTCAGCTTTTCCCCCTGGTTTATTCAACTAGGAAGGCAAACATGGAAACTTGTTACTTGAGTAGGAAGAATTTAAGAGGCTGTGTGGCATCTAAGTCTGTAGGCACTTGCAAATCTGAGAGGAAAGTGCCTTCTCTTGCAGCTGGTTGCCCCAGAGGGTGTGTGACAACTGTGTAACTGGACCTCATGCTGTGTTTGGGTAGTTTTCTTTGCCTTCTAAAATATATACACCAGAGAAATGAAAACATACCGTAAGAAGTCAGATGCAAAGCACATTGATAGTACTTTAAGTCTTACAGTGTCTAAAAGGATTAGTAAAGGGTAATAGAAACTTCAGGGAATTTAGGAAATGCCAGCAGAGGAATTTTGTGGCATTAGTTACTACCTTTTTTCCTGTACTGTTGTAGTTACTAGTGAAGTACTTTAAAAAGCAATACCTAGAATAAGAACACCATGTATTGTGCACAGGGGAGTGAAGTAGTACTGGCTCAGAAGACTTCCCGTTTGTTTTGGTGGGTTTTGATTCTGTTTGCATTGTTACATGCGGTGTTGCTATGTCCTTTTGCCTCCCTCCTATGCCTTGCTGGTTCTTCCTGATTGTAGGAAGAGACCTGCCATTTTCATTCAGTTAACACACAACTGACTAAAGACCTACCTATACTGCATAGAGCACTGTGCAGGGTGGATGCTGTGGAGGCCTGAGGGGAATGAGACACAGCCTGCATGCTCATGCATGAGTCTGCCTGGCATTTTCTTTTTTCTTACGTAAAGACAAGTTTATTCTTTTAGTCCCCTTCTTGTTACTTCAGGTCTTCTGTAGATTCCTTCAGTAGGTATGTATTTGAGCACGTGTCCTTTGATCTTTTCTGGTGGTATTCATTTGATCTGCCCTCTGCTCACCAACTTCTCATTTTTTTCCCCTTTCAGTCTACTACTAATTAGGCTTTAAAAATCATGAATCTCCAGTGTCAGTACATCATTTATCGCTCTCACCTGGCCACAATCCTAGACAGAAACCAAAGACCCAGAGGCCAGAGCGAAACAGAACTTTGAAAATTCACTGCTGGTGTATCTTTGGACCTTCACATCTTGCTTTAGGATTAATTTATTGAGTTTTACTGTTACACATTTTTTTTTTACTTGAATTAAAATACTCAACAAAGGAGAAACATAATTTCTGGTCTTTGCTTTCCAGAAAATCATTGATAAGAGAATATAGTGGAGTGTATGACTTGAAGTTTTCATAGCTTATATCTCCCCCAGTATCAGGGCACAGCCCCATTTTAAAGAATGTTTTCGCATTACTTATTTTCTTGTTAATAATGTTTTGTTCAAGTCTATACAGTAGGTGATTTCCCCTGACATTTTCTTTAGTCCCTGTTAGCCATCCCCTAACTCTGGGTGCACTGTGGATTGGGGACAGAAGGGAGTTGTAACTAAGCTCTTTTCTGGCTTTTTGCCTTTGTCTTAGGTTGTACAAACAGATCCTTACTCCTGATGCAGGTCCCTGACTACTTGACTTGGTGCATCAGAACAGAGATGTAGGCATTAATATGCAAGGAGTGAAGGGATGCTTGAGGCTGTCGGCTCTCTAAAAAGTATGGACTCTCCCGTCCGATAACTAATTAAGAGGGCATCCAAACTCCTGTTAGTGCACATCCAGGAGAGTGGGAATGTGCTTTCTGGCAAGGTGTTAATCAAATTTTGTGACATATAACTCTCAGAACATTTGAAATTTTCTTAAAGAGTATTGTTTTCTAATTAAAGTTTTACATTTGGTAGCATAAGTAGTTCTTTATGCTTTGCCAAGATATTGTTTGAGGGATACAGTGGGATCATAGACTGGTTTATGACACAAATGTGGTTAATTTCCTTCCCCTCCAATTTGAAAATCAGAGGAGCAGAAACCTGGCTGTTCACAGCTCTGTATGGCAACTACTGCTCTTTTGTAGCTGGCTGTTCTTGTAGATCAGTGGTTCTCAACCTGTGGGTCATGACCCCTTTATGGATTGAACGACCCCTTCACAGGGGTCTCCTAAGATCATCTGTATATCAGATACTTACATTACAATTCACAGCAAAATTAGAGCTGTGAAGTAGCAATGAAAAGAATTTTATGGTTGGGGTCACCACACCATGAGGAACTGTATTAAAGGGTTGTAGCGTTAGGACGGTTGAGAACCACTGTTGTAGACTAGCTGGGTGATGTCAGTGTGAGAGAGCAGCCATCACATGTGTTTGTCGCACAGTTCTGAGCATGAGCTGCCCAGGTTGCTAGTTAGTCATTGTTCATCTACTGTTAACACATTAACACCGTGAGGGACTGAAGACAAATGCATTGCCTGCTTTTTTGTACTGTGTCACAAGGCTTGCAAAAGCCTAGGGCGCAGTTTTGTCTTAGGTTTGACTTTCTTTTCCTTTTTATTTTTTTAATAAAGGCAAAGAGCTGAGCCCCATTCCTGCTCTCCCGTATGTGCGATGTGACTTCCGTGTGTATATAAAAACTGTTGCACCTAACCAAACTTCCTCGGATTGTGCACTGTTGGTTTAAAATAATCACGTAGTTTAGTCCAATGCTGTTGTGTTTTTTTTTCTTTTTATTTAAAACACTACTTATTCTCTAACAAATTTCAAAGGGTAGTGATCTTAAAAAAATCACTGGAAACTAGGAAATGTTTTTGTTGTTGCTTTGTTCTTTAAAGAGTGCAGAGGTCATTGAATCTTTTGCTCTTCTTACCTTGAACATGAATTGTCAGCCATTGTATGGCTAGGAACCAGTGCACTTGGCGTTAACAGATCTGCTGTTGCTGGGGACTGAGCGTGGACTTGATGCAGTGACGACAAATCATTGCGTAGAAGTAATGTTTTCCAAATGTGCAACTCAAGTTTGTAAAATGAAATTTGGTTCTTTACATCATTATTTAGTTTGTGTTTCCATTTAGTATTTAATGGTCTTTGGAGAAAAAAAATAAACAGAGTGTTATATATATATTTTTTGGTGCAAGATGAGATTTTGTTTTTTGAAATAAGTCTGTAGCATAAAGGTTAAACTATTTTAAGACAAAATAAAAATAGAGTGTATTTAAACAATGATACTTTCTGAGAATTTTTTTTTCCTGCCTTAGTTAACAAGGTAGTGTCTGGAACCATCCCCAAGCTATCCTTCGGAGTTGAAAACGTTCTATTTTGTTCATGGACCATCTAATCCATAGCTGTATCCTATTTCCAAGATGTGTTGTGAGTAGCTTGTGTCAGATCTAGGGAAAAATAGTTTTATGACACTAGGGGGTTGGTTCAGTTGGTGAAGTGTTTGCCAAACCCAAACCTGGGTTTGGTCTTCAGCACCCGAGTAAAAAGCTGTGTGGTGGCTCAGGCTTGGGATCTCAGCACTGGGGAAGTGTGAGACAAGAGGGTCCCTGGAGCACCATGCCCAGACATGCCAGTCATTTGTCAGCGCCAGGCCAATGAAAGACCCTGTCTCAAGGAGGTGGATTGGCATTCCTGAGGATGGCAACCAAGATAATTTTCTATATCTCCCAGCACATACTTGCGTGTGTACCCCTCAACATGTATACAGTGATAAAAAGCACTTAAAAAAGAGAAGATAGTTTTATATTTGTGGTGATACACTGTATACCCTAATAAAATTTGCCTGAAGATCAAAGAACAGAACAAACCACTAGATTAAACATAGATGTCAGGCAGTGGTGGCCCACACCTTTAATCCTAGCATTCAGGAGGCAGAGATCTGTCAGGATCTCTGTGAGTTTAAAGCCACCCTGGACTACATGAGGTTGACTCAGTCTAAGAGAGAAATAGAGCCAGGCAGTGGTGGCATATGCCTTTAATCTCAATACTTGGGAGTCACACACCTTTAATCCCAGGAAGTGATGGCTGGGCGGAGAAAGGTCTATAAGGCGTGAGGAGACAGGAACTAGAGGCTTTTTCAGTCCTAGAGGTAAGACAGGACAGTGGCTTGTTCCTTTGTCTCTCTGGTCTTCAGGCAAATTTTATTAGGGTACACGGTGTATCACCACATACGTTAGTTTCTCTATAGCCTGTATGTCTCTCCTTAGCTAGGGCCGGTGATTTTAGTTACAACTGAAGGTACCTTTGCTCCCAGGAACAAAACTCCATTCAGGACTAATCACTTTCCAGAAAACACCATGCCAGGGTCTGACCACCATGATTGCCTATGATTTAACACTGTATTTTACAAGTAACCTCACAAACTTTTCCTAGTTTGGTTCTGCTTTCAGAATTTTATTTGGTTACCCAAATGGTAGAAGCCATGTATGAATATCTTATGACTTTTGTAAAATGCATGAAGAAGAATGAAAATCTAGAGAGAGAGTGAGACCTAGCTCCTAATTCCTGTCATTCAACTCCAGATCCTTGCAGTCCAAGACTTAATGATTCTGCTTACCAAGCAGGGCTGTTTCCAATTTGTTTGAAATGCCTCCTCCATACTGCCTTGTGTTTGAAACCTAGATGTATTAGCACCCACCAAGAGTTTGTGTGCTGGCACACACTCTTTGACTCTAGAAGGAAACTGTTTATGGGTGACCTCATTTTCTGACCTTTTGACTTTTGTAGAATAGGCACAAGTAAATAAAATAATATGTGGCTAGTGCTTGTGCAGTATGGGCTTCTTCCTTCTAGAAGTCCTTGCTGGACTTTGTCTTTCTTTGCCCTTTTGCAGTGGTTGTCACCCTGTCGGTCACACATTGGGTATTTACATTGCAATTCATAACAGTAGCAAAATTACAGCTATGAAGTAGCAACGAAAATAATTTTATGGTGTGTGTGTGTGGGGGTCTCTACAACAGGAGGAACTGTATTAAAGGGTTGAGGTATTAGGAAGGTTGAGAACCACTGCCCTAATTTTTTTTTCTTCAAGACACAGTTTCTCTGTGTAGTCTTGGCTGTCCTAGAACTTGCTCTGTAGACCAGGCTGGCCTTGAACTCACAGCGATCTGCCTGCCTAAAGGCATGTGTCACCACCGGGCGAGAACTGCTGTCTTAATGGTTTGTTTTCTCCACTGTAGACACCATCTTATTGTAACTTCAATCTAAAAAGAAAAAATTACAGAGCAATCGTACACACACACCACATTAGTTTTATTTTAGCTATGTTATTGCTCTGGAAAGAGTAGTCCTCTGAGATCATTGGTAAGTGTGATTCTCTTCTCTGACTCCATTCTTTTTTCTTTCTTGAGACAGGCATTTACTATGTAGTTCTGGCTGGCCTGGAACTCACTGTGTGGGTCAGGTGGCCTCCAACTCACAGTGATCTGCCTGCTTCTGCCTCCCAAGTGCTGAGATTAATGGCGTGCACCATCATACTCAGCTTCCATCATCATCATCATTTTAATTTTGAAACATGGGGCTAGAGAGATGGCTCAGCAGTTAAAGAATACTGGCTGCTCTTGCAAAGGACCCAGGTTAAATTCCTAGCACCTATGTGATAGTGTATAACTGTGCCAGGCACAGACAAAACATTCTTACACATAAAATATAAATCTAAATTTTAAAACATTTATTCTCTCTATTGCTGCTCACATGCACATGTGTATCCCCAAGCATGGAGGTCAGAGCACAACTTACAAGAATCAGTTCTCTCCTTCTACGTGCGTACCCGGGTCAAACTCCATTTTCAGAAGCACTGACACATAGAACTAGGGAGCTCCTGGGCCACTGTAGGATTTTGACTCAGAGACTCTACCTGAAGCCAGAGAATCTATAGGAAGCAGCAGCAAGAGCAGTGAGCTCAGAAGTGCAGGCCATGATCCTGAGGAGCAGAGACGTACAGAAGAAATGCCTGCTTACCCAGGAGGATGTGGATCTTCAGGGCCGCCGCAGATCCCATTGTGGGATGGGGAGTCATGAGATCTTTTTGCTGGGCCTTGGTGTGGCATTTGATGGGTGGGTGAAGGATGGGTACAAGTGCCAGTGGCCAACCAACTCTGCGAAGAGGTATGGGGGGGGGGTCTAGAGTTGATGTGCTGCCTGGTCACATACCCTAGCTGTTCTGTGTGACTCCCTACTCTTTGCTGAAAGAAGCTCCTTGGGGACCCTCCACCTTCTGTGCTTCGGTAATGGGCACTTGAAGCAGTTAGACCTATTCCCTTCGGGTGACACTTTAGTCTCAGGAGTGAGAAGGTAAATTGAGGTGGACTAGTGAATCTTTATAGCTAATTCTAAAGCACGTTTGACATTAGGGTAGCTCGTTACCCTGGGGCAGAGGTCAGGTCAGTGGATGGGTGAGTGAGCAACAAAAGGTGGCGGATAACCTCTGAAAACTGAGGGTGCTAAAGGGACTTGAGGGTTTTTTCTTTGTTTGTTTGTTTGTTTGTTTGTTTGAGACAGGGTTTTACTGTGTAGCCCTGGCTCTCCTGGAATTCACTCTAGACCAGGCTAGCCTTGAACTCACAGAGATCCGCCTGCCTCTGCCTCCTGAGTGCTGAGATCAGAGGTGTGCGCCACCACGGCCCTGCTGGTTGTTTTTAGTTGAGGGAGTGCTTTATTAGTCTCTGTAAACGGGCTTTGTAGTTCTGAGTGAAGAACGTCGTAGAGCTCTTGTGTCTAACAAAGCTGTTTGGGGATAGGATTCAGCAGGGCTGTGGGCTTCCCTGGTCTAGGCTGCTCAGTGTTGTAGTGTTCTTCTTGGTGAAGGTCTCAGAAGGTATTGGATAACTAACACCCACACGGCCTTGACTCTGCGATCCCTGTTTTCACAGTTTTACAAGAATGTTTGCATCTAAATTTCCACATGGGATAAGAAATGCTACAGATTGTTATAACTTTACACATTGAAAACTGAGCAGAAGAGGGACAAACAGACACAGATTTACACGTAGGGGCTTTTCTAGAACAACTTTGTTCCTCATATGATTTTATATAGGACTTCTTAAGATTAAAAAAAAAAAAAAAAAGGAAACTTGCTGGGCAGTGATGATGCACTCCTTTGATCCCAGCACTCGGGAGACAGAGACAGGCAGATCTCTGTGAGTTCAAGGCTAACCTGGTCGACAGAGAGAGTTCCAGGACGGCCCAGGCTACACACAGAGACCCTGTTCGATGGAAAAAAAAAAAAGAGGAAAAAAAAAAAAACCCTTTTCTTTGTTTGGTGTTTCCCTTCATTTCTTTTTTAAAAAGAGATTTATTTGTAACCATGTCTATGTGTGTGTTGGGGGGGGCGGGGATAGAAGTGCAGGTGTCCATGGAGGCCACAGGTGGTCAGGGCCTAGAATTGGAGTAACTTGGGTGGTTGTGAACCGCCTGACAGGTGTGCTGGGACCAAACTTGGCTCTTCTCCAGGAGCATTTCCCACTGGTAACCACTGAGCCGTCTCTTCAGCCCTGCCGTAAGTCTTTTTGCTACCAGCTTTGTCTTTTTTCCAGCTTGAGAAGACTCAGATGTCTTCCTGAGTAGATCAGTGTTTGATTGGGCTAGTGGTCACAGATTTGAACATATGTACCAGACCCTCAGCCGAGTATGGATCCCAGCTCAGGCTCTGGAAACTTTCCATAGAAGACTCTCTGTCTCATAGTTATGGATCTGAAAATTCAGATGTCCCATAAGCAAGAAAAGATGCAAACTGACAATACAGGGCAACATTCTCGTAAGTAGGATTGGGTATACGTTTTTAAAAGGAGACAGAGCAGTGGCAACTTGTTTTCTGGCTTCTGGGAGCATAATTTGTCTCAATAATTGGAGAAACTAGAATTGTCTAGTGAAGCTGACCATGTGTACACACCAGGGCCAAGTAACTTCTTGGGATGATCCCTTTAGTCATGTCACCTGTGACTAGTGTGTAGAAGGAAGTCACGGAGACAATTCACTCTGTCTATAGGCCAGTTTGTGATTTCTTTCTTTAAAAGTAGAATCATTGAAAATAACTGGAGACCGTATTTTACACAAAACCCTTGTTTGTTGTATACAGATGTATGTCCTCACATATGTACACAGGGCCAAGAAGCAAAGTGGATTTTTAAACTGTGGATCATACTTTAAAAGATGAAGAAGAGCAGGAGGAGCCATGATTTTAAGATTAGTTTGTGTCTTAAAATGCTTCTTGCCATTTTTTCCGT